AGCTTTTTGCTCAAAGGAGTCAGAGGAAATAAGAACGTTTTGTCTCACCTTGTTGTTTTCCTGAAGGATATAGGGTTTTTACTTGTGGTTAGCCACACATCTGTGGTATCTTGGCAACTTTCTTAATTTTCCAAGGATTCTGGAAAAAAAGAAAGAACCTCAAAGAGATTTTCAACAATCTGTAAGCTCAGCACCTGGAAGAAAATCTAAACAGTTTAATAGGGCAATTGGAATGATTCCCAATCCCCTTAACAAATAATATTATCATAGCTTTGCTGACATTCATGGCAAACTACCAGCCCAGATGTAAAATTTCCTCACCAGCTCTTAATATAGCAGTGGTGGGAAGGAAATGTATTGCCACAGGTGCCACCATCTGCTCCATGGTCTGAAAGGGGAACTTTGTTTTGGAGCCTTATTAGCCCATTCCACTCCTCGCTTTCTGTTCTTTACTGGACTTTGATATACTTCAGTGCCAGAGATGAGAAACAGATAAATAAGTAAATTGTGCTGAGGAAGGTTTCTGAAGGCTTAAAGAGGAGGCAGGCAGCAAACTCGCATCACTCTTCCCATGGGAGCTCTTCAACAAAGTACTCTTTGTGGGTCTACCTTTATTTTTTCTTGTCTTAAATTAAATTAAGCTAAATTGGTTTGTGTCCCTGTGACACACCTGCTTCCCTGAAAAATGGTCCTCTCACTACACCTTTCTAGAGGCTAAGCTACCACTCACTGTCTGCAGTGAAACACATCGAAAAGTGGTTAACTAGAGGAACCAAGTCCAGTTTGATTAAAACCTATGCTAGGTAGGTACCTACAGTCCTAAATAACAAGCTTAGCATGCCTGTGGGTGTGGCCAAAATGAGTTACCACAAGATGGGCTGGAGCTGAATCTATGGGTGTAGTCACCTCTACCACATTTTCCATCAATTCCCCAGTTTCCATCGAGTTCAACTTCTGGTCAGTCCTCTAGCCCTGAAGCCTCACTAATCCAGCACAGCGATCATTCAGCTCCCTCCCTAGGGCCTCCTCTGAAGAAGGCGAAGGCAAAGTCAAAAAACCCCTCCAAGACCTCGCAGCAGAGTTCCTTGGAGCCAGAGGTTGCAGCTGGCTAACGTCAGTGCAGCTGAGCAAGAACTGCTCTTCGCACTAGTACAGCTGGCACTGTGCAGGGGGACATATTTTTAAAGCAAGTGCACAGCTTTTTATAATCCAGCATAAAGCATAGGTGCCATCCTGCCTGCAGGCCAGAATATAGTAGACATTTTTCATACTGAGTGCACATTATTTTAGAGGAAAAAACCTGCTATTTACTTGTATGTGTGGTGGGGGAGTGCTTTTCTTTGTCCTTGCTGACTACAGCTTGCACACTGAACACTCATTCCTCTTTGGAGTTTAGGAGTCAAAAAAGATGAGATTAAGATTAAATACTGACTATGCATTTTAGACAAAAAAAAAAAGCAAAAAAAAAAAAAAAAAAAAAAAGGCAAAGGATAAATGCTAACTTGACAGAGAGGAATGCAGAAAACGGAGCAGATTCAAAGAGTCATCAAGTTGATTAATATTTGTGTCCATAAAGATTAAACTGAAAACCCATTAAAAAGCTCCCACTCAATGTGTAAAAAAAGTAAGCAAATTAAGAAGAACTAGATGTTAAATCTGTGTAATATTAAACCAATTAAAGATAACAGATGCTTCCAAAATACTTGTGCCAGAGAGCAGAAATCAGGACCTGGAATTCAACATCCAAGAAAGCAAAGGATTCAGTGGTCCATATTAAAGAAAGCTGTGTTTTAGTATTTTCTTTGATATAAAGGACCTTAATCTTCTTGTGAATAAGAGGTTATAAATGGAGGACAGAATACATGCTCTTGTTCTTCAGGATTCTGATCTCCATCATATTCTGTTGTCCTCTCTATCTCCGGTCTCTGAGGTTTTGCTTCAGGACATCTCTTTCACTTCAGTCCATACAACTTTCTTCACTCAGGCATCATGGATTCCTCACCTGCAGGCTGTGAGCCTTCCTCAGTATAACACTTTATCAGCGGTCAAAATCCCACTCAGTCTACAAAAGGTGAGATTAGGGCTCTTCTAGGTCCTCCCTTCCATTTCATCCATGTACCATGTGATTGCCCCAAAAGAGTCTCAGTTTCCCCTATCCCCAGGGTTGCCCTCAGCCCATTCCCTCTGCCCTCTTGCTCCCCTGCATCTCAGTTGCCCCTGACATTTCCTTAGCC